GAGAGAGAGAGAGAGAGAGAGAGAGAGAGAGAGAGAGATTTTAAAAACTAGAGCGCATATCCACGTAATACTGTAGATAATCTTTTAAGCATTCCTCAATTAAATCATTATAGTCTACAATAGATTTTATAACTTAAAACTTTTATTACTTATTTTGAGTAAAAATATTATAAACTTATAATATTTGTATTTATTCATATTTCCATATTAAGTACACAATTAAGAATTAAGAAATTAAGCATTTTTATAATATTAAGTATAAGAAGTAAAAATCAATATAATTAAAGGTTTAATACTAATCGAGTGTAATTAAATAACTAGCATCATTAATTAAAATAATAGTAACATTCAGCTTGCTTAAATTTAATTTTGCTTAATTTTCATAATTTTGAAATCCATAAGTACTGTATTTTGTGGTGTATTTAATGTTTACTCAATTGATCTAAAAATAGAGTCAACAGCTTATGGCCTGTTATGAGATCCGAGTCTAACATAACTTCACTTTAAATTCTCTATATTGTTATAAAAGTAAAAATAATTGTTTGTATTTTAATATTATTAATCATTGTTAATTATTGTTAAGTCATTATAAAATATTTAAAAATTATACTCAATAAGTAATATAAAAATAAAATTATATCAAAATCTTGATTAAAATAAAAGTTCTTCACGAAAAATCATATAAATTGAAATATTTGTGGGAATGTCTGAACGTTTGTAATGACTGTTAAGAATCAAATTCATATACTATAGTATAGTAACTATACTATACTCGGTGTCAATCAATTTCGATGACAAACTTCAGTGCAAATAAGTTAAGAATTTTGATGAGATGTTAATTTTTAAACCATATGTTTAAATATGTTTTGTGATATTGTATTGACTTTATTATTTATAGATTGTGATACAGTTAATTCAATGCAAATTTATTTATTTATCAAAATCTATTTGTTAATAAAAATTATAACATTTAATATTAAACACGTGGTTATTAATAACAGAATTGCTTAATATAATTATGTTTAATAAATGATAACAAATTTGTGATTAGTAACCATTGATAACAGTAAATAAGAGGTTTTTGTATTAATATTAAATTAATATAATTTGTGAATACATGTAATCCTTATGACTGCAATGTGCTAACAAATTTACAAAAATGTTTAACAGTAATGTTAAAACTTAAAATTTATTATAATCTTAAATAGCATTAAGTTAAATTAAATATTAAATTAACATTTTAAATATAAAATTAATTAATAAATTTAAGCTATATTAATTTGTCAAACAAATAAATGTTTTTGTTTAAAATGTTATGACAATTAGCAATAAATTCTGATTTAATATAGAATACTAAATAAAAAGATTTTATACTTTATAATTCTATATTTCAAATAAAATAATTTTACAAATTTATTATTATTGTGTATTATTATATGTCATATTATTACAATAACTAATATGTACTTAAATACATAAGGTTTATAAATGAATATAAATTATGGTTTCTGTGTATATCGTGTTCGTGTCTCATCGGTCTGACAGGTATATTGCCGTTCATTGTCTTCAGGTTTACTGATTCTTATATTAAACGTAAGTTTTAAACATTTATTTCACTTATTTTATTTAGTTAAATAACTTTTTAGATTATAATAAATTATAACAATTGAAATCAAAACAAGTATTAAATAAATTACAAATAAACAATTTGTAATATTTTTCAGGTGAGGATAAAAGACTATCACTAGTGTTGAGCTTTAGTGTCGGAAGTCTTTTAGGCGATGTATTTCTTCATTTGCTTCCAGAAGTGATTCAGTTATCATTGAAAGAAAACAAATATCAATTGAAAGCATTCAACGATATAGGAATTTGGATTCTTTTCGGCATTTTTACATTTGTTTTCATTGATATTTTAGTCAAGTATTTCAACACAAATGACAAAGTTTGAAGTTTAAAATAATATAAGTAAACAAAATTTGGTAATAAATGTTATATTCAAATATTACTAGAATTCAGACAACATTGCGGTTCAAAATGGTATTAATAAACGCAAGAAAAGATACGGCAAAGAAAAGTTGGCGGAAAATAATTACAGAGATATAAAGACCCGAACAATAGAAAGTGTCGGTTATTTGAATCTATTGGCGAATGCACTTGATAACTTCAGTCATGGTTTGGCCATTTCAACCAGTTTTATGGCCAGCATTAAGGTATAATTAATTGAATTATAATGAATAAAAATTCATCTTTCTTTCAAACAGATGGGACTTTTGACTACTTTTACAATAATAATGCATGAAATCCCTCATGAATTTGGAGACTTTGCTATTCTATTGGATTGCCCTAAGTGATTTACCCTTCGTTAATTTCGTGTTAATGACTGTCGATAACAGCCGTAAACACCGCGTTACAAACAGGAGAATAAACTAAGGTGTTTGTCACTTCTGTAATTGCATTCTCACGACAGATTCACTTGCGGCGCATTCCTCAATATATCACTTCTCAATTTGATGCCTAAATTACTTCAAGAGAAAGATATTCGGTTCGTAACCATTAATTGTTAGCTTATATGAAAACTTAGTTTGTCCATTATGTTCTGGTGCAGTTTAAATTCTTAAAATGATATCATAATTTAAGTTCACGCTCTTAGGCACCAGAAACCAAGTTTTATCAAATTCGCATCAATACACAGCAATATTTTATATGACAGTCAAAATAATGTATTCCTATACCAGAGTATCTATTTTGGTATTTATGATGGAAAATATTTACTAAAATTGATAATTCTCAAAAAAATAATAGAGATAAAAAACCCTTCCTCTTCTGAAATGTTCAATATTTAATGATTATAACGATATGTTATTTTGCGGCCGACTCTGGCCGATACCCCAACTGTGACCACTTCATTATAGGCAGTGGACACCGTTGGGCCTGTGTTCCAAATAAATTGACTACATTTTTCAATTGTTGTCGATATTTCCAAATAATTGCAACTCATATTACTAACAGATTCCAGTATATGACCGATCTTCCAATCTTTACGAAACTTAGTTTCTGGTGCCAAATAATGTTAATCTAAATAATGATACCATTTTCATAATTCTTACTGCACCAGAAAATAGTAAACAAATTAGGTTTTCATTTGACTCAATACATTAAATCACACATTAATTGGTTGTTTTATTTGAAGGCAATCTCTTTGGCAACTCATAGCGATTGGACTCGGAATAGGAGTTATGATAATAGTTAACTGTTTTGAACAAAACTAATGAACATGTTTATTATGTCTGATTGTAATTAATATAACTTTAAAGTACATATTTTCAAATATATCTCATTTTAAAAAAGATTAATGAATGTTAAACTGATTGAGCCGTTAATTTAAAATACATTAAATGTATAATTATTTTGGAAGTCTTTTTAAAAGTTTCATTTCATGGCTCAACCAAATGGCTATCGAAAGGACAGTTAGAGCTCCCGATTGATGGGTTGCGGCCAATGTTTTGGGTACGTATAGTAATAGAGTAGTGATGCCGAGCGCCACTTGTAATACAGTGGCAGCCATTAGACAATTGACTGCGAGACGCGTTCGCGGACTTAATGGCAAACGTCTTGAATAAAGCCAAAGCCCTGTTGTGGTGACGAACACTAACTCTCCTAACAATCTGTGGTCGAACTGAACAGTTGTCGCGTTTTCAAAGAAGTTCTTCCATTTGGGAGACTGTGNTGCGAGCCTTTGCCGACACTTCTTGTGTTTGTCGTCCATTCAATTGGTTCACACTTTTGGTGACATTCAGTGCTTTTGATAAACAAAACTAATATATGGTTTGAATCGCAGATCACATGTCAATGCATTTGGACTCACATTTGGCTTCAGTTGATGTGATCTGAAGAGATGGTGAGCTCTCACACGAGATAACACCGAAAGCATGTCTTAATTGAATTCAATTGATTGTTAATATTTATAAATATTGTCAACACTTGTGAACAGCGGTTGCCATGGATTACAACACGTGATCACTAGATCTCATGCATTGTAAACATGACTGCATTTCAATACCAAGTGTTGAGTGAATCTGAAAAAAAGTTATTCCAAATACTTTTGAACTAAACTTTTAGAAAATTGTTCTCAAGTTTAATACAGTAGTTTTACTTAATTCCTGTTACAATAATGATAATCGCAATTACTGTATTATATGAGTTTAACATTACTTGGATATAATTGGATATATAATTTTTAATTTTACAAGTCTTTGACTAATTAACAACTTTTATAAGCTTGGTACTATATTAATCATCGAATGGTTGCCTTAAAAATAAGTTAGCTTAAAGTTTTGAATTATTGTAAAGAATATTCTTGAAATTGTACTAAATATTAGTAATAATAATTACTAATTATAATGTCAATTATATACAGAAAGTAACATAACTAATTATTACATGCTATAACCGTAAACCACAATTTTCATACTTAATTATGGTATAAAAGATGTGATCCACAATAATTCACTTGCAAGTGTGTTTTACTTCATATTTTAAAACCTTGTTGTGTTTGTGTCAGTCTGTGATTATGCCTAAAGCAAGATGATCGTATTCTGTCTTTTAAAAACTTGAAATCATTAAATACATTAAAATAAACAATTAAATATCACTATTCCTTAATGTAATACAGTGCAATCTCTCTTGGGGAAACTTCTCTTGGGGAAACACCTCCTTTAGAGAAACGGATTTTAAGCATATTTTGGATTTTCTATAGCTTTAACAGAACCTCCCTTGAAGAAACCCTCTCTATAAGAAAAACTTTGGCTAAGCATCTGCCCGTTTCTTATGGAGAGGTTGCACTGTATTAATGTACATTAATCATGTTAACATTTAATTAAATGTTTTTAGTTTTGAGAACCGCAAATATTCCACACCCGCACATAACCCGTACTTCATCATTTTCTAGATATGCAACTTTTATTATCAGATAAGCCGCGGACTATAGGGGGGTTTTACGGTAATACCCGTACTGTATTGCCAATCAAATTGTTTTATTTATGAAAGAAAAATAGTTTCGTTAAATTTATTAATGATTTACAAATACTGTGGCATTAATTTCATACTAACGAACACTGATTGGACTGAATATGTAATCTAATCAACTTATTAACAGTTTATCTTAAAATCACAATAATTTGTTTCAAATCTACATTATTTAAACATCTAATATAATCTCATTATAATTGCAAACATACATTTATACGCTTCATATTCGAGGGTAACAAACTCCAATTTAATTATAACCACAAACATTTAAATTCAAACAAATCATCATGGTTAAAAAGTAAGCCAATCATTATTTTGTCTAATAATTGCATAAAATATTTAACGCAAACACTTCTTATAACTAGAAAAATATCTTTTCTGCGAAATGTCTGAATAGAAACACATATCGAATATCAGTTACACTTGTTTTCACTCAAAGTCTTTTATAACTTAATAATAAAAGCGTCAAAAATGTTTGTTTCACATCATATTTGATGGAAAAAATGAATGAATTTTATAAATTGTTGTCTGAATTTAACTCATAGAGTGGTATACATTGTCTGGTATATTATAATGCAAACAATACTGTATTTCTATATTATAATAACAGTAATATCGAAACAATCTTTACGACAAGTTTCGTGCAAAAATAAGCTTATCTTTTTACGAGCTTTTATTTTAATGTTTAGTTTAGTGTTTGGGAAGTATTTGTCTGTATCACTGAATTTGTTGCTTTTATGAGTTGTTTCTCAATTAATTAACTTTTTCAGACAATTATAATGTGACTAATTAATGCCTGACAACTAAGTTTGCAAACAAAATCAAATACGAAATACAGTATTAAACAAAATCTTCACTATTTTTATGCACAACTGATTTAGGGAGTGGTAGTATCGGAAGGAACGGGACATTTGAAACGCAAAGCAATAATTTTAGGCATAAGTTTGTGTCATATTATTGCAGTTCCCACTCGTTGTGGAAGTTATAACCAAATTTTGTGTTCATTGGGAACCAAAACTTTAATTGCCTTTTCTCTGTGTGTCTTTTCAAAATGTAAAATACTGTTTACAGTGCATTACAGTGTTGTTTAATATTGTTATGAATTCTTCTCAATATAGTTATAAGTTATAACTTTTAATGTATTGAAAAAATATTTGCTATTATTATACAGATCTGTTTAAACGATTACAAAGTGTGTTTGAAATGATATGATATAATGTGAACGAATAAATTCAATTCATCAAAATTAATTCAAATTAAGTCAAAACAAACAATAAGATCGTGTTTTCCAGCGTCTAAAACGAGTTTATAATAATTCACTTTAAAACTAAAAAGTGAGAAATGTTTTTATCACTTATCGCATCAATTCATCAAGTTTTAATTTACGAATAATAATATTATTTGACCGAATATTTGAATTTTGTATATTTTTGATACTTTATATAAAAATTAGTGAACAGAATTATTATTGAAAATTCGCAATAATTAATTGTTGTAATAACAAAGTTGTTAAATAAGATTACATTATTATGAAAAACGACTCAAATTGTATGAACACATCGATGGCAGACATTGAGGTAAATTCGTTACGGATATCGACCACTGATTCGCACCGTCCGGACAGTTATATCTCTCGTACAGCCCTTCGCGAAGGGATTGGACGAAAGGCATACGAAGCGCTTCAATGCAAACCTGGAATCAAAGAAAATGTGAATTTCAATGCAGACACAAAACGCATTCATGTAATACCCAAAGAGTTGTTTGAAATTTTAGTTGAGTCCAAAGTAGATCCAGATGTGCTCTCAGACTATGGGTTAGTCTAGTTTATGACTTTACACTTGTTATGAGTTATAACTCGTTCTCATGTCTCACACAACGGGAATAACTGTTTGCTTAGCGCTCTTATCACACACTTTAACAGTACTTTTGATCTTTTAATTAAAGGAAAGTTTGCCAAACATATTGTTCGGACGGAACGCCGTTTCCAACCGATTCACACAACGCTAGCCTTCAATTAAACAATAGCTCGACTCAATCGACTCCCGGTCTCCACAACAAAGTGTTTCCGCGTTCATCACTCATCACAAAAGGTAATACTAAATACTTATATCATTATTATATAAGCTATTATATGCTTAACTTTTTATAACTTTTGTACAATAATCCTATATTTTCAAACCAAAAATGTCTTTATTTAATAAATTGTTTAATAAGGCTTATAAACATTTATAGATTGTTTCAATAAATCAAAAACCATTAGTTTTAAAAGATATTTTCTCTTTTATACATAAATGTTATGATTGAGTGGAAAATACGTTATTTCACGACAAAGAATGTCCAGTATTTAAATACATTATTAAAGTCTAACAACTAGTTTGTGATTTGAATGCCTTTGTGCTGATGTCTTCCTGTCTCTCAAAACCTCCGCCCGATATATAATGCAAATGTTATTCACAAAAGATTGTCAAAAGTTTATTATTACAAATATTATATTCATCAAAAATATTTGTATTTTAATGTATTTTCTTCTGATTGTCTTAATCATTGATATTCCGAATGTTCAAAATGTATGTAACAAAAAGTTTTATGAGGAATTTACTATCAATATATTGCATTTAAAGCAAACTTTTACTCACTTGTCACTAACAAGTTGTCAGTGGATTAGAGAATATTGTCAATATTTTAGACCTATTATTAAGCTTAAACTTGATATACATGTTACTATTATATGCTGTGGACATAACTGTGCTTTGTTATCGGTGGCCAGTAAAGTAGTAGTCCTATAACTAGTAAACATTTGTTGTTATACAAACATTTTCAACATAAAGCACAGTATATTACTGTATTGTATATAAGATCTGAGAACAACTAATGGTCTATGGATTTGAAAAAACAATAACTCGACGACCCTATTGTGCTCTTATCAAAGGTTATCTATTATTGTATACAGACTTACATTACCTGTAAGTCTACAGTATATTCAGTACATACATAACATCCAAACCAAGTATTTATTATTCAGTACTGACTCTGCACTGATATTTGTGCCTTTATTTTGACCTCTATTTTGGAAATATTAAACTCCTTTCAAAGAATCTTAAATTAGTTGTTATATATTTACACTATATTTCTCTTTTTCTATGCACTTAATTATCACTCAAAACTTATTCCCTATTATTTAATAAAAACTATTTTAAAGGACTACTAATGAAATCCCTTTACAAAAGACACAAAGAGAGAGAGAGAGAGAGAGACTAAATGTTTAGATTACTTTATGAATACACATAAAAAGCATGATTACAATGGATTTAGGTTTCGGTCCGTAGACTAGCAGTCATCAGGTTTTGAAGAAACAGCCCATTTATGGATCAGTCAAACCCATTCTCTTGTGAATACTTTTAACACTGTATTAATCGAAAAAAGTTCTTAACAGTAAAACATTTCTATACATCAATGTATTGATCATTTTTCTCGCAAATGTGAAAAATTACTTATATTTTCAGATAATTTGTCTAAAAATAATTAAATTGTAATAAATCGCGACATAGTTTTGACGTTTATTCTCATAAGTTATTCAACTTTTTGTTTCAACCACTGATTCACGAAAAATTGTGAAAAACTAATCAATAGTCGGTTATTCAGATAATTGTTGTATAGATTCGGTCTATTTGTCAAACAATATATACACTTAAATAGAAATAATTGGGGTTTTAATACAATATTATATTCTGTATGTATTACATGAGTAAATATGGATAGTTTGACATTTATATTGACCGACACTAACCTATTGAGAGATATTAACCATGGATTGTCAACAGGTATTGTCATTTATTATACAAAACATAACTTTTAATTATTTTGATATATACTTTATTGAATATAACCTGATTCTATTGAATTTATAATAATACTGTTTTATTAAATAAATTATAACTTTAAAATTTAATTATCCTATTCTTTGAAAATTATTTCTTAAAATATATATTTATTATTTTTTAATGATTATTTAATAATAAGATTTGAAAATAAATCCAGTAATGATTTTTGTTAGTGTTATGGATGTGAACATATTTCTATAAATTTTACCCACAATTTTATGTGCTTTAATGCTATAATATATGACATAATGTATAGAATGTGATGCGAAAAACAATTTGCAATTCCATGAGTAAAACAAGATTTTATTATTACTAGTTATTGAATCTAAAAATACAAATTTAATTAATATAATAAAGATATTTATTATATAATAATAGAAATTTTTGGCATAAAATATATATTTAATAAAAATATCTTTGATATTAAAGAAGAAATTATTTTTCTGTAAAAAATCAATTTATTTGGAAAATAAAATTTCTGTTAATATTATGGTTGATATTGAAATGCAATGAATAGACGTAATAATGTTTATAATATATTTTATGGTATAATAGTATTATATAATACTAAAGCAAAGAATGTCTGGACCTCTGTTCAGAAGTTAACGTCCCGTTGAAAGCCTATAACTTATGGCTATAACTGTACTCTTTTCACAACCTTTTAAGACTTTTTTTTAGCAAAAGTTCTATAATTACTAAAACGTGATTTCCTTCACATTTTTCTTTATTTAATGATTCATTTTTAAAGAAAATTTTGAATAAATTATGAAAATATAGTTTACACTAAAATTTATACCGATATTACACGAGATATATTTATACAGCACTTGAAAAATTCATTTTAAAAGTTATTTTATTTTATATAAATTTAATTTTTAAGCCTAAAATGTGAATTAAATTACTATTAATTCCTCAATACAATGAATTTTTATTATTTTAAAAATCAATTGAATAATTGTCATAAAAGTTCCCTAATTATAGTGACCTTCACTTTGAATATAAATTTTAAACAAAAGATTTAATCATAGAATTTAATTGGGTTTTGGGAATACAATAGTAAATATCCAAAGGGTTTGTATTTTATTACAAATCGTAAAATATTACAGTTATTGTTAAATAAATGTTTTAAATTGTGTTATAAATAATTTGTTTTGAAAGGTTTGAAAAAGGAAGAGAAGTGCAAATCTTCAGTGTTTACAATCGTTGGCCGAAAAATAGTCAATTCTGACAATAAGAGTGTTAATAAATGTGGCAAAGAGTGTAAGAGTAGTAATAGTTTAGGTGATTGTCGTTCCGGAACGTTGTTTAGTGTTCTCGCGTCCCCTAAAGCGCTAAACGCTCTTCAAATTACTCCAAACGATAAGAAATCAGATATTAATGAACAAAATGTTGAATTGGAGACAAATAATAGCGTTGAGTCAGTCAATGAAAATGACAACTCAATTAAAGTGAATGCAAACGAGAAATTGAATTTCAAGCTTTCAGTTCCACAAGAAGTGCCGATTCAGACCATTAAAGAGTTTTGTCGTGTTATGAGTGAAGATAAACCGTTTGGACGAATCGTTGAGACGAATGACAATGTCGTCAATGAAACTAATTTATTGAACGAACAAAGAAAGCAATTGTCGTTTTTGAAGAGCCCATCAATTGTGAAAGAAGTCATGAAAAAGATCGCATCCCTTCCCAGTGGAGGCTTCAAAGACAATGCAAATATTGAAGTGTCTGATTGTGAAGCAATGAGTTGTGAGTCGAGAGCACACAATCATATCATTCAAATAAGTGGTCAGAACTGTAGTGTCGGCACCGATACGGAAGCTATGCTCGCCATTCAAGAGCTCGACAGGTCTATAGCAGAGGCCAGTCCTTCCAATACCAACTCACCCATCATTTTGCCCCGACTTTACGACAAGAATCAAAGCGACAATCAAACAGATAACCAAACTATTCAATCAAATAAAAGCAATCATTTAAGGCCTGAGAAACCGCCGCGTCTTCTAAACTATTCAAGTATTGAAGCGAAACGAAAAAATCTGATTGAAGTCAACGAAACACAAACTGATAATCTTATTGAAGAACTTTATTTGACTGATGAAAGCGGTTCTAAATCTAATAAAAGGACTCAAAATATTAAAATAAATGATAATAATATTCAAACACTTTTAAATGATAAATGTGTGGAAAACCACAAAATCGATATCAGTTTCAATTATAATATGAAACAAATAAATAACGGGACGTCTAATGAATTGGATGGCGCTATCACTAGAACAAGTCTTAGGTATGTTTGTAAATATAAACAATATTTCAAATGTTAATAGATGAGCAAGGCACTTTTAATAAAATGATATTTTATCAATTAACGCATGATAAATATAATTTAAATTAATTAAAATTTAATAAAACTTATGTATAGTTCTGTGGATTCGGGAACGAGTTCTCCAAACTCCTCGCATTTCATTGTCGTTGCGATAGATTTCGGCACAACTTTTAGTGGTTATAGTTTTGCGTTCACAAGAGATGTGGACAATGCTATTCATATGATGAGGAAAGTCGAGGGTATGAATAGAAAGTTCTTATTAACAGCCAATAATAGACTTAATTTTTATCATATTTTAACTACATTTTAACTACATGTGTATATTTCATAAATGATTATTGCTTTCTATGGAAAAGGTTGTGATCCCGATGTAAGCAATCAAAAAATTCCGTAAGCATTTATAGACAATAATATTGCACTCGATATTAATGCCATGTACAATTGTATGAAGGACAATATTGCTGTTGAATGAAGATGGGGCGTTTCATTCGTTTGGTTTCGCAGCCAGAGATCATTATTCGAGTCTCGAACCAAAGGATTCTAAGAAGTGGTTCTATTTCGAGAAGTTTAAAATGGATTTGCATTACAATCAGGTCAATACAACCATCCCATTGTCACTCATATAATTCACACTTTGTTAATGATTACCTAATTTTATCTTTAACTCTGCGGGAGATTGTATTATAATGTGAGCTTACGATCCATTTTATGTTAGTCTTAAATGTTATATTTATTATAAGTTTAATCGATATAAGTATAAAAATTATTGAAAGATTATTAACATGATAGTTATATACGGTATTTTATTAAATACGATAAGAAGTATTTTTTGCTATTAAAATTCATCAGTTAGTTGCAATTACAAATTAAATTTTTTAAAAATTGAATAAGAAAAATACTTCAAATGAATTTATTAAGTTAATTTAGTTTAATTAAAAATTTACAAAATTCTCATCCATTCATGCATTACTTTTTTGATTTTGCTAAACATTAGCCAATTATTGGCAAAGGATTTGCCAATAATTTCAATTGTTATAGAAAGTCAACTTTTCTTCAATATATTTATATCAAAAACCTTTTTTATAAATCAATTCTTTCATTGAATTCTGCAATTATTACATAAAACATAAGTATTGAGTCAAATATTTGTTGTCTGCAGTCATTATCATTGGATACCAAAATTCAAGCAACGAATGGTAACAAATCAATGTCAGCGTTAACAGTGTTCGCGCACTCATTGCGTTACTTCAAACAACTGGCCCTTCAAGAGCTCAGTGATCAGTCAGCCATCAATATTCTCAACGAAGACATTCGTTGGGTTATAACAGTTCCGGCCCTTTGGAAACCGTCGGCCAAACAGTTTATGAGAGCCGCCGCTTACGAGGTATAGAAAGCATATTATTTATACGAAAGATAAAAGTGAC